AACTGGCATTGGGAACTGGGGGAGAAGACATATTGATATGAAGAGCCTTCAAGTCAGACAGGCAAGGCTCAAAGCCCTGGCTTACTACTTAATGTCTTAGACAAAATTCAAAGCATATCTTATTTTCCTTCTGTACTATAAGACAGCATTTCCTAGCTCCCTCCACAGCCAGCACACATCAACTTCCAGTAAAAGTTTCACTGATTATCTAAAGAAAAAGTGTCACTTTTCTTCCCAGGAAACTCGGGCTTAGAAAGATGAGGACATAGCCTGTTATTACAGAAAGTGGCTGAGCACAGAGGGGCTTAAGACAAAGCTGGGAAGGCCTTTGGAAGTGGGGATGGTCCGGGAGCAGGTGCACAGAGTGGCAGGGAGAATATCCCAAGTTGGGGATACGTGGGCAGCTCTGTGACAACTGCAGCCAGGTTTGGACAGTCCAGTAAGGCTGTGGAGGAGGGAAGGCTCTCCTGAGGAGTGTGGCCAACGGCGATGCCAAGCCTGGGCCACTGGAGGCTGAGGGGATTGTCTGACATCAGTCCCTTGTGCCTTTGTTGCCCCCTGCTCTGTTGGCCAAAGGCTGCCTCTCCCGGGCCTCTGGGAACTAGCCTGCTTCTGTTCTTCCGGTGACCAGATGGGGTGTTCCCTGTAGCTCCTGGGACATGACTGTGTGTGACCTTGTACTCACTTTGTTCTTTTCTTCCTGTATTCTTGTTACCCCCTGACATGTCCACTTCCTTCTCCCTCTCCTTCATGCTCTCTCTCCCTTCTTTCCCCTTGCCTTGTCTCTCAGCCTCTCTCCTCCCTGGTGGTGGTGTCGGTGCAGCCAAGGTGGCGGGCAGCAAAGTTATCCCTGCACTACCAGAGAGTGGCCAGTCAGAATCTGAGCTATCTGAAGTGGAAGGCGGAGCACAGGCTACGGGTAATCAACTTCTCCTTGGAGCCAAGGCCAGGCCAGGCCAGGCCAGGCTGTAGCAGGGGTCCAATGGGATAGAACTGGGCCTTGGCTGTCAGAGTTCTGTTACCCACAAACATCCTGTGTGCTCCCTAAGCTGTCTGAGATGGTTGGGGAGTAGCACATGAGCCCAGAGGCAGGAAGGAGACCTGTACCTCCAGCTTTGAGAAACCACTCACTGGGAGATATAGAGGCCATTGCAGAGCTTTCAGCCTGTGCTCAGGTCTGGGAGAAAGCAAGAAAGTCTGGCCAGTGCCCACACTCCAGTGTACTTAACCTGACATCCCGAGCAACCACTCCCCAGCCCTGTCCACTACTCTAGCCCTGTGGTGAGATGAGGTTTGCATGGCTTTGCAGGTTCCTTGACTTTCTCCATGGAAAAGGGGCTCTCCTTTACATGCTTCTGCCAGCTATCTCTAACCCACCCCCAGCCCCGATCAGTTGATATCTCTGGGGGTGGTGACATGCAAGGCAGTGTTGACATGCATCAGTAGAGTGTGAACTGAAATAGTTGAAAGGCGCTGCCTGCTGCTTTCCAGGGGGGCTGAAACCTCCTGCTCCTTCCTTTCGTGGATGGGAGCTGCTCTCTGTCTCCCTCAGCGTAACATCTCCATCTTGCCCCTTCTTCACTCTCATCACTAAGCATCTTCCCCTGGCAGGTGGCCAGCCTGAGAACAGTTGCCATCTAAAGAGAAAAGGGCCTCTGGGAGCCTGGTAGGCAGCATGAGCCTGCATGCACTAGGTTGTCTGTAAAAGCCTCCCTGGCCAGTTCTGTCACAGGACACTGAGGGAGTAGGAGAATGACTTAGGCATCTCTGCTTATCTGATTTCTTTCCCTTGCCATGGGTACAGGGAACTGTTTTTATGTCAGCATGCCAGCAGGACCTCTGGACTCCAACACTGAGCCTACCGGGACACCCCTAAGTCCCGCACAGCCTCACAGCCTGCCTACATGGCCAACAGAGCCTCAGTATCAGAGGGAAGGCATTGAGGATCAAATAGGTTCCAGCTGCTCTCCCCCCAACCCGGTCCTCAGGGATGTGGGTGTGATCTTCCATACCATCGAGCAGCTTACCATCAAGCTCCACAGACTCAAGGTAAGAACATGGCCTTGGGTCAGTAAGCCTTCCTACATTACTCAGGACAGTTATATGTTTACATAAGAAAGTGCGTGTATACAAACATGCATATATACACATATATAAACATACATGCCAGACAAACATTCTACCATTAAGCTCCATCCCAACTCAGGAAGTGTGCGTCTTCACTGGAGTCGTAGGCCACCTTCATCTTCAGCTTCCCTGCCACACCCTCTGAGCCTTAGCACTGGGACTCAGACACTCCTCCTGCAACTCTTCTAGGACATGGAGCTGGCCCACAGAGAACTTCTCAAGTCCCTTGGAGGAGAGTCATCTGGTGGGACCACTCCTGTGGGCAGTTTTCACACAGAGGCAGCCAGATGGACAGACCACTCTCTCTCTCCTCCAACCAAGGAAGCCCTGGCCTCTGGCTCCCAAAGCAGTCAGGAGCAGGGGTCCTGCCCTGAAGGTGAGTGACGCCAATTCCTGCATGTCCCACCTAAGGAAAGCCATGACCCATGAGTAAGCATAACCAACACAGTCTTTGCCAGGCATAGTGGGATACACCTTCATCCCTGCACTCAGGAAGCAGAGGCAGCTGAATTTCTGTGAGTTCAAGGTCAGTCTAGACTATATAGTTCCTGGGATAGGGGGCGTCTGAGAACAACCTCAGCTGTCTGTTCTGCCTTCCACCCTGGGGCAGAATCTGTGCTCACCACTGGGTAAACCAGGCTGGCTTGGGGCTCCCCTGTCCCGCCTTACCTAGAGCCATGGACCTGGGGCTCTAGACTGCACTCCCACATCCAGGTTCACACAGCTTCTGGGCGTCCAAACTCCTGTCCTCCAGCCCCAGAAAGGGATCTTTTTAGGGAAGCCACACAGAGGGTCCCTCCAAATACGGACCAATACAGATCCTTCTTTTTAAAAACCTTTGTGTGGATGCTTTGTGTGTAAATCTGTGTACCACATACATGAAGTACCTAAGAAGGCCAGAGACAACTTTAATACCGTGGAACTGGAGTTACAGATGGCTGTGTGTTGGGCCCCAGCCCCCATGGATCTCTGTGCATTGCTTGTCAGCTGATAACCACGGGTGCATCCTGCTCTCTAGTCCTGGCTTACAGCCCGGCCTTGCCCACCTGACATCACTATCTAGCACAAGGAAAACACGATCTCTTATACCTGGGGTTTCTCCACTGTGCTGTAAGTCTGTATATAAGGCTGCTCACTCCTTATGGCACACACAGAGGCAGACATACAGAAGAGGCGCATACGCACACACATTCTCCTGGCAATAAAGGGGCCAATGTATGCTTAGCTCTTGTCTTTTATTTCCCGACACCTTGGACTTGTTGGTGGCACGGATGCCACAGTTGTGAGCTGCCGTGTGGGTGGTGGGAACTGAACCTGGTTCCTCTGGAAGAACAGTGAGTGTTCCTAACCACTGACCCATCTCTCCAGCCCCCAGAGGTCACCAGGCGTTCTTAGTGGCTCAACCCTGGGTTCCGGGGAAAGACCATTGCCATGGCCTGACTCAGAGAGTTAACACACTCACCTGTCCTGGTTTGGGGGCCAGACAGAAGTGGAGTTCTCATAGACTTGCTGAAGTCCCACAAGAAACAAGGGTTAGGCTGACAAAATGGCTCAGTGTTTAAAGGTATTTGCCACCAAACCTGACCATCTGAGTTCAAGCCCCAGGACTTACACGGTAGAAGAAGAGAACTGACTCCTGCAAGTAGTCTGACTTCCATACAAATAAGTAAAACTACTTTAATTAAAAATAAAGTTTCGCCGGGCGTTGGTGGCGCACGCCTTTAATCCCAGCACTCAGGAGGCAGAGGCAGGCGGATCTCTGTGAGTTCGAGACCAGGCTGGACTACCAAGCGAGTTCCAGGACAGCCTCCAAAGCCACAGAGAAACCCTGTCTCGAAAAAACCAAAAAAAATAAAAAATAAAAAAAAAGTTTCATCACCGAGTAGGCCGGGGACTTGAAACCTAGCCAGCTTCTCAACCCTCACCATCCTCCCACAGGCTCAGACACCCCCCTGGAAGACAGTGCCACAGACACAGCGGCATCACCAGGACCATAGCCATCCAGACAACCTGAGCCTCTGCTTCTCCACTCTGCCGGATTCTGGCCTGAGCCAGAGCACAACACTAGGAGAACGGGCCTCCCCTTGGAAGATGCCGCAGAGGCCCGGGGAGAGACTTGCATGTTGCTTGATCTGTTCACATTGGACGGTTTCAGTGTCTGTTCCTGATAGCCAAGTCTCCTGAGCATGCTGACCACAACAGAAAGGTCTCCCATAATGGTCTACCCTTCACCCCACATAGCTACGATGTGTGGGGTATGCTGTGTGCACAGCACCCTCAGGTGTGCAAGTCAAAGGAGGAGGCTTCTGTGTAAATGCACTTTTTTCCTCCCCTTCCTCCTAGGCCCGAGACAGCTGGGTTCCTGGCTCTCCTCTCTGTCCCTTTAGTTTCCTATAAATATGTCTATTGTATGTGCATTTTTGCCATTGTAAATAACTTAGCCTTTTTTCTGTCTCTGGCATTCTCAACCAGTCAGAGACAGCTGAGAGCCAGTCAGCAGCCCAGTTCAGGGTGGTGACTGTCTTATGTCCCACAGGCAGGGAGGTCTCCCAGACTCCAGCCCAGTCAGGCTCCAGGGCCCTCCTCTGAAGCCTAGTCCTCGTTGTCAGGAAATGAGCATCTCGCCTGACCCATGCCCACCCCTTTCCCACTTGCCCAGTAGAAACAAATACAGCAGGTACGGAGCTCAAAGGACCCTAAGAGAACAGAGTCCCTGAGTTAATTCAGGACACTTCCCCAGGGACCACAGCAGCGTTGGTTCACCGCCTGTCCTCACTCCACTCCCCCCTGATGAACATACACACTGTGCTAGGTGTATATATACATATATATAAATATATATAATATATAAAATATAGATATGGAAATGACTGTTTTGCTGTTAAAATAATGTATACTCTTATTTTCTTCCTTTCATGGTTAAGATTTTTTTAAAGAAAAGTTAAATATTCTTCCTTTGTGGTTGTATAATTCTTAGTTGTACTGGTCAAGAATGGGTAGAGGGAGCCAGGAGAGCCCCTGCCACCCCACCCCACACCAGGTCTTGCCACCTCTCCTAAAGTTTCAGGTGTGTACCTTCTCAGAAGAGGGTGGGCAAGTGGCCCTGGTCAAGAAAGACTTTGTGGTTACTTCACACATAGAAGCAGGGATGTCATGACCTACCCTCAGCTGCACCTCACTGCCCTCATCCGTCTCCTTCCCATAGGTCAAGTGTAGGGCTGAAGACAGCTTTAGAGGACCTGGCAGACTGGAGAGGCCATAATGGATGATCATGGTGCACCTTGATGGTGTTGGGACTCAGAGCAATGGGAGATGCCCCTGGAGCCATACAGCCCCCAGTGCTGAGGCAGCAAGTGCAGAAGACGGAGCTCTGGTAGGCAGAGGGGCTAGAAATGAGGGTGTTGTCCTCTTACCGTGGTTGGAGATTCCCTATAGGTAGTCATGGGCCCACTTAAGCGGAGGCAGCCTGGCAGCCCTGACTCTGGATGTCCATGATTTCAAGTTGCTGACCTGCATGTCTAATGTTTGACCTTTGCTATGCAAATATGGATACAATACCCTCTCCAGAGTGCCTTCATCTTTAAAAGCTGGCCTCTCAAGTCAGGCAAACACAGGGTTGGAGATAAGCAGCAGAGGATGCTGGTGGATGGGTCCTAGTTCCAAGCCTTCTCCCTCCATCAGAGTTGTGCTTATGACCCCATCATCCTAATGCTGTGTGCATGCTGGCAGAGATGGTTGTAGTTCATCCCCCCAACAGAGCCATGGTGTGATTTAGGTCACCACTCTGCCATGTCTAGCCAGGCAATATGAAGAGACTCAAGAGCCCAAATCTTCCAAACAGTTCTGGAGTCATTTTCAAAGAGTAACACAGCAATAGACTGTGTTACTGGTCTACTGGTCCAAGAGATCTCCCAAGGAGATAGGGCTGCCCGTTGGAGGCCTAGGTCGCTGTGGCATCCTCCTCCCTGGTCTTGGCCTTCACAGGGTCCCTTGGCAGCATCAGTTCCTGAATCATGGTGTATGTTGGACACTGAGGGTCAAAGCAGTTTTTCTGAAAGATAGAAAGAAAAAAAAACATGTCTTCAGAAGAAAACAATGCCTGGACAGTGTTAGAGCTGGTAAGCAGGGAAAGGCAGTCATACCATTGGTAACTCCAGAAAACAAGGGTTGCTGCATTGAAACAAAGAATTGGAACAGTAAGACCTGGAAATGGGCTAGGAACTCACCGCAAGGGACAGCCACAGCAGCCCCAAGGGGCCCTTGGATGAAGTCCTGGGCTTGGAGGCCTGAACCTGGTATTGCACGGCAGTGAGGAAGCCTTCCAGTCCTACCTCTGTGATCTGGTTTCCTGAGAGGCACAGACAGTGGCGTCTGGCATCACACCTGCCAGCCTGGCTCCCCAAGTTCACCAGGCAGCACTGACTGCTTTTAACTAGCCCTCTATCTCTGTTCTTTCTGCTTTGCACTTCCCTCACGTCCTTTTCCTGTGTGACTCCTCTCCCCACCTAGCCACCTCACTCATGTCTCCACTGCTCGGATCCCATCCCTGACCCAGCACTTCCTCTAAGCACCAGCCCCGTGGATCTGACAAAATGATGCTCAGCTGTTTAAGAATCAAGTACACCCCATGGAGCTATGGTGGCGCCCTTAGTGGGATGGACCGTGGGCAGTCCCGTGGTAAGGACAGGTGAGGCTTGCAAACATACGGAGCAGGTTGAGGTGCAAAAGGACCTTGTTCCCAGGCATGAAAACCTTCCCATCTCGGTGCTCCACGGGTTCCAGGAGAGGGTTAACCATCTCTGTAGCTTCAACGAGCAGCTGCTAAAGCACAACACTAGTTGCAGCAGAGGAGGGGGAGCTGGTCAACAGGCCATACATTCATTCAACATACAGGGTTTGAGTGCTGGTTATAATTCAGGCTGTGTACTAGGTGCTGGAGAAACAAAGATAAATAAGCCCATACCCTCAAAAGGTTCCTTGGTGTGGGGAGCCAGAGAATTAAACAGGAATGTGGTCTGGTGGGGCCCTTGAGAGCAGAGGATTATGGGAATGTTGGCCTTAAAAGAGGCAGCCTGGGAGTAAAGTTGAAGGTGTACAGACATTCAGATGAAGAGGGTGGGTTTCACAAGCAAGGAATGTGGCGGGTACAAAGGCCCTGGAGCCCCGAGTCCTCATGGGACTGGGGTTTAATAAGGATTCGTAACCTTTCCATTAAAGAGCAGTTGGGAAACTGATGGTCCTGATGACAAGGAGCAGTTTGCCCAAGACAAAGGCAAAGACTGTGAGGTGGGGGCAGAAGGCCATCCTCCTTCCATCTGATGTGTTCTTCTGCCGGGAAAGACTTTAAAAGGACAGGGCTTTCCCTTGCAGTGGGCCTGCAGAGGCGGCTGCTGACGCCACCCGCAAGAACCGGGAGGCACGCACCCCCCCCCGAGGGCCACGCACCCCCCCCCCGAGGGCCACGCACTTCCCCGAGGGCCACGCACCCCCCCGAGGGCCACACCCCCCCTGAGGGCCATGCACCGCCCCCCCGAGGGCCACGCACCCCTCCCGAGGGCGGGCCACACCCCCCCGAGGGCCATGCACTCCCTCCTAAGGGCCACGCCCCCCCCAGGGCCACGCACCTCTGACTCCAGGAGGATGCTGCGCTTCTCCTTGTTCCCCATCTTCGTCCCTTTTCCCTTGCTCATCTTCTGCTCGGGGATGGTCACCTCTGGGGCCAGAAGAGGAGCAGAATGCACAGAGCGGTCGACCCCCGGCACCACCCAAACTCCCAGAGAAGGGGGCTTGGAAAGGCAGAGCCCCCAAACTTTGAGACTTGGGGGAGAACACAGGAACAACTGCAGTGAGCTCCCAACTAGCTGGATGGATTTCTTTTCTGAGGACAGCCACAGAGGCCTCGTCCTGAAAGATAGGGTAGTAGGTCACAACGTCTAGGCCAAGTGGAGTGTGTGTCATTATTTCAAGGTGAGGAATACACAAAGCCCAGGGAGACATGTGAAAGAGCAACTCCTGGCAGACACAGCCAGGCCAAAACCAGGCTCCACATGCTGCCAAGGCTCTCGCTCCCTCCGTGTGGAGGAGGGTCCCATGGTAGGGTGCTCACACTTACTCCCCTTGGCTGCCTTTGAGGCGTCCTCTTTCTTAGGGGCTCCTGGTGTAGGTGACTGCCCCGGGCCTGACTTCTCTTCCTTCTTTGCAACTTCCTATGAAGGATGTGAGAAGACATAATGGATACCCTGCCTCCCAGAGGGAGAGCGTCTAAAGGCTGGGCCTGAGAGACACCTTCAAAGGCCAAACCATTGGTCTTCCTACCGCCCTGCACCATGGAAACTCCTCCCCTGCCCATTCAGGGCCCAAGGTTCCCTCACCCAACACACCTACCCCTGATTTCTCCTTTTTCTTGCCCAGGCCCTTAGGTGTCTTCATTGCCTGCATCTTTTCTGGCTTGTCCACCAAGGCAACAGTGCTGACCCCCATCATCTGCGACTTCTCACGGTCCGTTTTGGAGTCCCCGTGCCGGGAGGAGGAAGGCTGCACTCAAGTGGGAGGGTGCGGAGAAGACTAGAACCTTCCCTTCCCCACCTCCCTGCCTGTCACCTGGGACAGAGGAGCCCAGAAATGGGTGAGGGTGAGCCGGAGGCTCCGGCTGTCATCCTAGGAGGGGGACGTAGCTCACTATTTCTGTTGTTGATTTGTTGCAGTGCTAGGGATCAAGCCCAGGGCAAGCCCTCCACGTATTGTACTATCCTCCAGACTCGGTTTTATTGAGCCATCGGCTCACTCGGAGGCTCAGGCTGTCCTTGAACTCATCCTTCGTCTGTCTCCTAACTGAAAGGTTTACATTATGCCCACTCAGCAGCTTTTGTTGAGCTAAATTCTAGGCAGTATTCCAAATGCTGCTATATTAATCCCTCTCAAGTGTGTGAAAAAAGTAACAGTTACCCTGTTTAGTTGAGGAAAGTGAGACCCAGAGATTAAACAGTGAGTTCAAGAGCAGAAACTTGTGACGTGGGGAGGACTTCAAGCCCAGGTGGTCTGAACAAGCTTTTCTCTTAACTACACTCAAACCACCCGAGGGCTGTGTAGTTAGCGCGCTGGGCCTCCAGAATCCAGAAGGGAAAGACGATGGAGCAAATTTGAGTCTCGGGCAGCGGGCAGAAAAGCAGCCGTCCTGGGACGAGGCAGCTCCTCACCGATCGCGACCGCTCCTGCGATCCTTTCTCCAGCAGCAGGCGCCTCCGCTCCACCACCTCCTTGTGGGTCAGCTCAAAGGGGCGCAGGACCTGAGGCAAGGCCAGCTTCCTACGTCAGACACCTGCGTCAGGTCCCCTGCCCCGCCCAGCGTGCAAACCCACCTCAGCCAGCTTCAGTGCTCCCTTGTCTTGAATACGGTTGTGCGCCAGCGACAACCAGAGGAGAGAGCGGTTCAGCCTCAGCCCCTGGAGAACAGAGACCAGTAAGCCAAGGGCAAGCCAGCGCCCCCATGCGTCTTGCCCAACCACACGCACATCCGCAATGTAGCCGGCGCCCTCATCCCCGATGTGGTTGAATCCCAGGTTCAGTGAAACAAGGGTCCGGTTGCTGTTTTGCAGTGTGGACAGTGCCTGGCCTAGGAGCTGCGCTCCGTAGTCATTGATGTTGTTGTTCCTCAGAGACAAGTGAGCAATCCTGGGGCAGGGAGAGGGAGAACCGGTGTTCCTGGGGGTTGGAACCTCTTGGGGACATGAGTGGTTCTAATCTAAATATAGGTGGAGGGGCAGGAATTAAAGGTGCCTGGGGACAAGGAGAGATAAGGACTAAAGATAACTCGGAGAAAGGAAAGTGAATTCAAGAAGTCTCACGTGCTGTCCAGTCCCATGAGCTTGTAATAGGACTGCTCCGGTAGTGGGTTTCCCTCCAGGGACACCTTCCTGAGAGTGAGAGGCTCTGAGGTCTAGGAATCGCCACTGAGGCCATGCAAGGGGCAGGGGAAGCGAGTGGATTATGGATCTTTGGGGAGCATCTGGAAAACAGTCTAAGGATATCCCCTCATATAGGAAGCATATCTATGACAATCCCCAAGGCTAAAATTCCAGAAGCATGACCACGGGAGGGGCCTGTTCTTGAGCTGACCTATGGTATAGTGGTCTCTAAGTTGACCTTCACTGAATCCTATTTCTGGATACCCAGGCCCTGTGCTATATAATCCTTTCCTCTGTAGTGTAGCTAGAGCTAGTTACAGACAGTGTGTTTATGTTTTGGTTTGTTTTGAGACAGGATTTCTCTGTGTAGCCCTGGATCTCCTGGAACCCCCACTATTGACCAGGCTGCCAGGCTGGCCTCAAACTCACTGAGATCTTCCTGCCTCTGCCTCCCAAATGCTGGAATTAAAGGCGTGTACTAACACCACCTGGCTTTCCTGGTTGGTTTAAACCGCTACATTTTGGGGTTACTTGGTTACACAGTAATAAATCACGAGCAGGACCCTCTACAAGATAATAGCTTCTCTCAGTTCTCAGAAAAAGGAACCAATGAGTAGAAATTTCTCTATTCAAATGCTTCCCATGGTATATAATTATTGCTCAGCCTTTTAGGCTGCCTAGTTTCATATAAACAGTTCACTTCAAATCATCTTATGCTGATACAGCTGATTCTTATGTAATGAATTCGCAGTTCTTTTTCTGTTAACTCATTTGTTTCTACTTTCCCAGCTAAAGATACAGCTCCTGCCCTCAGGGAGCATCCATCCGACTCATAGGAGGAAAGCCCAAAGCTTCACAAGTAGTACCTCTCAGTGCTAGCCACATGGGCTTTGTAAACTGCACCTGTGGCAGGCTGTGTTAACCCTGACTGCTCTCTGCCCATCCACACCATGATTCCTAGGCGGTTAGCTTACCGCCGTCTTCCTGCACAGACTCACGTGGTAGGCAGCGCTCCCTTTTGCACGAGCCATCCCTCCACACCACCTCCCCACGCTGCTGCAAAGCAGCTTCTGGTCATGGGCCCTTCTCTCCCTGCTCACTGTACTGGGTCACGGATCGGGGGAGATGATCCCCAAGGAGGGGTGGAGCTGATGGAGAGGAGAGAGGATGGGCTCCCAAAGGGCTCCGTGAATACCACGTGGTCTCAGTGGGAGTCCCCCCACCCAACAGACATGGGCTGAGCCCCCATTTCCACACAGATGCCAGCCTAGGCCTGACAAATGGGACTTGTTACTCTGTAGACAACCGCGTCCCCCTCATCCACCCTAGCCAGACCACTGAGGCCTGACCACAACTGACCTGAGTGTGGAGGAACAGAGAGGCAGAAGGGCGATGAAAGTGGTCAGGGTCTTATCCGTCAGCCCCACCTTCCACAGGCTGGCATTAGAAACAAACAGCTGGGCGCCCCTTCCCACAGGAAGCCCCTCCCCACAGCCCCCCCCCGCATTCCCTCCACCCATCCCAGCTGAGCCTGCTACTCTGTGGAGCCAGTCAGAGGGTGGCCTCCCACAGTGCCTCTCACTTGATGGCTTGCAGCTGGCTGAGGGCCGGCAGACATTTGGAGAAGATACCCAGGATCCGATCCTCAACTTTCCAGCCTGAGGGAAGGCCAAGGGCATCTCAGGCCTGGGAGGGACCTGATGTGAGCCAGTAGTGGGTGGGGTGCGGGTGGGTGGGGTGGAGGGTGGCACTCACCCCGGATGTAGATCTCTTTAACTGTCTTGCTGTCCTCCTGCTCCAGCTCCACCTGAATGGTAGGCCGGAAGAACATGTATTTGCTCTCCAGGCTGTTCTGGCTGCAGGACGCTGACAGCCGCTGGTCGTCTAGAAGGCGGTGAGTGTGAGGGTTCCACAGCTACGGTGTGCCCCACCCAGAGAATGAGCTGCGTGGGCTATAGCTCACCTTGGGTGGCTTTTTCTGACGTGGAGGCAGACGGGACAAAGTTTTGCTGGGGCCGTGGCCGGGTGACAACTTTGGGAAAGTCCGTGTAGCCTGACCGTGTGCATAGCTCGGCAAAGTCTGTCTCCAGGACCCCGGAGCACTGGTACTCCTCTGTGGGGGCGGCAGCAGAGTGAGCCCAGCGTTCAGCACAGCAGGAACCTCCATGCTCACAGCAGCCCCAAGAGGAAGCTATTTTGCTAAGACCAATACTGAAAACACTGGAGGAAAGCAGGAGCTCACAGAAGGGAACTACACCTAACCAGCAGGGCTGCTGACCCGTTAACACTTTTATATAGAGAGTATTTGCTAGTCTGTATCCCAGAGTTTGTAAAATGCTCCATTAATTCAGTCTTGTCCACCACCTACCATCCTGAGGCTCTGCAAGCTGGTGTCTGGCACCATGGTAGCCCAGGAAGGGTCCCTGAAAATGGGGAGTTCCTGCCAACCCCCAACCACCCGGCAGCAGCATGCAGGCCACCAGCAGGGGACACTGTCAGCTGTGCCTTCTGCGTCTGTGCAGTAGGGAACCTGGTCCCAGGAAAACTGCATGACACAGAACTCTTGGAGGAAAAGAGTGTGAGGAGCTTTGCTCCTGTACCCGACTGTCGGGAAACTCAAGCCATGGGAAATGTCAACCAGTTTGCCCTATTTACAGATTGATGGTAGGAGGCCCAGGGAAGTTGGGTGCATGCCCTGCGCATGCCCGAGCTGGCTCTCCTCTATTGGGTGTGGCCATCATCCTTCTTGGCATCACCTCTCAAGAGCAGATCCCCTCAACCTTTAACATCCGTAGGAATTACCTGAAAATTGTTAAAACACCCTCCTGGGCCCATGCCCAGACTCTCATGATTTTATTCCCTGTGGGGAAGATCTCTAAGGAACTTACTCCTGGCTTACTCCACCCCCACACCAACACAGTTGGAGAAATGGGCCATCAGATGGCCTTTAATCTACACACCCACCAGGCCTCTCTGCCCCATGGTGAGACCCTCATCTGCCAGGCCATACAGTGGCAACCGCACAGTCTGTGCCCTCCACAGTGCCCTTACCCCGGGTCCCTGTACAGTTGTCCCTCGAGTCCTCCCCTGCATCCTTGCCAGGGCCTTCTGCACCTCTTCAGGCTCTTCTGACCCATCTTGGGGAGTCTCAGGCTTGAACATCCCCATACCCTAGCAGTTCCCAGAGCCATTTCACCCTGCCCCCTTTCGTTCCTGCTGAGCCCCACTCCTGAAGGCCCACCCTCGCATGCTCCTCCTACTTTCCTTCCCGCCTCCCCTCAGCTAGCATCCCAGACTAGAAGCGGGACTAAGTGATGCTGGGTCCCTCGCCTCCCCCCATCCAGTCCTCCTCCAACTCGCTGTCGTCTACCTCCCAGGAGCCTAACCTACCCCCTAGCACGCTCACTATCCCGTGCCCACCACTGTCCTTGGACTCGGCTTCTCACTCAGGCACGGCTCGCCTCCCTGCTCCCCTGCTGCTTCCTGTTTCTTGCTGTCCTTCAGTTCCTTGGGACATAGTCTTGCTTCGTGTACAGTCCAAGTTTTATGAGGAGCCCAAGTGCCCCCTGCCTCAGCAGCCCAAGTGCCGGGGTTACCAGGGTGCCCCCGTTATGTGCCCCGAGAACTCAATGCTCTCTCGTCTTCCGTGAAGATGCTACTTCTCCAGTTCCTCGTGGTCTGCCTGCCCCTGGCCACTAGCACAGACAGGAAGTGGCGCCCGGCAAAGAGTGCCACTGGAGTCCTTCCCCAGGTGGTTTCACCCCATTCTGGGGACAGCAGGCCCCTGGCCCTCTTTCCTAGCAAAAGCGTCAAATTTTGTATCGAGACGCCTTCTGACAAAGTCCCTTTCGTACTTAACTGGTGGAAGTTCAGTTGTCAAGAAAAGCCATGGTCCTATTCATCTAACTGTAATGGTCTTTAAATATGCCACAGCAGATACTGTGTCCACGGCCACAGGGCAGATACTCAAAAAGTAACTGTGGGCTAAGTGAGTATCTCTAGAGCCCTGTTCAAGATCCCTCCCACAGCAGCATGGGGTCTTCCCGCCCTGCCTGTCTTTTTTTTTTTTTTTTTTTTTTTGGTTTTTCGAGACAGGGTTTCTCTGTATTGTTTTGGAGCCTGTCCTGGAACTCGCTCTGTAGACCAGGCTGGCCTCAAACTCAGTGATCCGCCTGCCTCTGCCTCCCGAGTGCTGGGATTAAAGGCGTGCGCTGGCACCGCCCGGCATGCCTGTCTTCTTTGGGATGCCTTATTGCATCCTATGATGTATATCAGCGTCCCCCTTTAAGACCAACCCCTGAGGAGATCCGCCTTTGAACTCAGCAGAGATACAATTCTGAGTTCTGAACCAGCCTAGTCTATATAGCAAGTTCCAGACAAGATTTTATTTGACAATATTAATAATTAATAATATAATAAGCCAAGCTCTGGGGCTCTGGTTAACCCAAGCACAGCCCTGACAGCGTACCGGGATTTTTTTGGCTCCTCCTCACCAACTGGAGGCAGGGCAGTTGCTGGCTTCTCCTTAGCAGCCCGGTCTCCCTTCTTGGTTACTGTACCCGATGACTTCTGGGCCCCAGGACGTGGTGTCCTAGGTGAGGTCCCTGAAGCACTGCTCGGCTCACTGGACATACTGGTGGTTCTGGGTCCCTCAAGTGACAGACGAGATGAGACAGGGCTCTGTGGGCCTCACCCTGAGGATCTCCACTCACCAGATCCAACTGGCCAGCAACTGTACAACTGCAGGATCTGCAACTCCCTCTCCAGGACAACCGAGCCCGGCTGGGTGGAGCTGAGGCCGAGCAACGGCAGAGTGCACGTGACTGGCGGGGGGGGGGGCGCCTGAGCGAGTGGGCGTGGCTTGGAACTCTTGGGGTCTGTGTGAACAGCCCAGCTCAGGCAGCCTAGGATCCCTGTGGACCCAACAAATAGATCCTAGCGCAGAGGGCACAGACACCTAACAGTCCCTTCTCAGAGAGATGCGGGGAACCGGGGCGACACTGAGCAGGGAGGCGGTAGAGGGCGGAGGACACTCAGAAGGGGACTTCAGGCTCATTCTCTAGACAGAGTCCTTAGTGGTTAAGAGCTCAAGCAAGCCGCTCAGGCCGATCCTGGGCGCCCTCCTCCTCCGCTCACTGGAGGAGGCTCAGTCTGATTAACTGAGGCAGGAGGTCCCATCCTTACCATTTTGCTGTCCCGGGCCCCTTTGGAGTTGCTTGGCTTCCTGGAGCCTGGTACCTCATTCCGTGCCACCACGTGGACCCCCGCACTTGAAGCGCTGATGCTGCCCCCCCACCCCGCTGCTACTGAGATCTCCAAAGCAGGCTCTGAGGGACACTCAGAGCACGGGTTCTAGTGTTTGCCACGGCTGTCGCTGGCACTGCCATCCGGCCACGCAGCTTTTAAAGGAACCTTTATTGACTACCGTGTGTCAAGGGAAACCAACAGTAAACATAAACATGGAGTCCTGCATTCAGGCAGCGTGGGTCTGTCTCCCCGCTAGGGGGTGGCAGAGGCTAATCTAGTAACATGGAAATCACATCATCACTGTGCAGTCTGAGCTCGCAGTGCATGTGGCCCACGCCTTTAAAGCCAGCACTTGGAGGCAGAGGCAGGCAGACCTCTGAGTTCAAGGCCAGCCTGGTCTACGTAGTAAGTTCCGGCACAGCCAGGTCTACATAGTGAGACAAGGTTTCAAAAACTATAATGCATGTTCCTTTTTGCCAGGCGGTGGTGGTGCACGCCTTTAATCCCAGCACTCGGGAGGCAGAGGCAGGCGGATCTCTGTGACTTCGAGGCCAGGCCGGACCGACAGCCTCAAAAACAATACAGAGAAATTCTGTCTCGTAAAAAAAACAACAACAACAAAAAAACACAATAATGGCTGGCACCATCCCTGCCTTCCGCAGACATCAACAGGCAACGTGGGAGGCTGAGCTGAGATGCACCAGTCCCTGGGGGGGGTCCCTGGGGGGTCCCTGGGGGAGGAGGCAGCACGGCAGATAGCCTTCGCTCCAGGAAAGAGTGAAGCTGGGCAGGAGCCCAAGGAGGACCAGGGAGATAAACACCACAGGCAGATGCAACCACTGCAGCAAAAACATTGATTACCAAGCGAAGGGTGGGCAGGTAGCCGGGGCCTGATGTTGGCGCTGGTTAAGCTCAGAGGTTAGCTACATGGGAAGCGCAGAAGGCAGAGCCTGTGCCCGGTACCCTCTGAAGCCAACTAGACACACACAGCTCCGCCTGGGTATACGCACAGAAGAGGTACCCGACACATTTTTAAAATCAATCTAAAATCAGACTTATATCCCACAACCTTCAGCCCCCCATCTAGTCCAGAGCCTAGGAAGGAACACTGGGTTGAAGAAAGGGAGTTGGACAGTTTGTCAACTCGTGTCTGTCTCCCTTGGCAGAAGGAAGCTGAGAGACAACATCAGTCTCTGTTCTCTTTATCCAGCGAGCCTGTCCATGGCCTGCTGGTCTGGTCCCTGCTCCTGGCAGGGAACACAGGTGCTATCCCACACCATGCGGACTCCTCAGCGGTCCTGGCGCCGAGGCGGAGGTGATGGTGGATGCCGTACAGGAGGCAAGTCATAGTGGCCAGGGACGTGACTGTTTTTGGGTGAGTCATAGTGGCCAGGAGGCAGACCCGGAGGAAGAGGGGGCGTACAGCCCACAGGCTCTTGATCTGAAGACAGAGGACAGGACGAGGTGACCCCTCAGCCTCCCCTGGCTCTCTCCCTACTCCAGGCTCTTCCTACCCATAGAGAAGTGACTGGAGATGCGTGTGGGCTCTGGACCAAGCACCTGCATGTTTGGCTCTCGGCAAAGCCACCCCGCCCGTCCGCCTCAAAGGCCATGAGGACACTGTCCTAGAACTGGATGCTAATTCTACCTATATGAGCATCCTCTCAAATGCTCCCTCAGGGGAGGGACAGACTTGAAGAAGCAGGGCAACGCCTGGTTTGAGACCGAACCACGCAAAGGTGCCACTATCTCCTCCTCCCCCTCCGCGTCTCCCTCCCCGCTTCCCATGCTCCAGTGCCCTATAGCCTCTGCTGGGGGCAGGGAGGACTCACTGTGGCTCAAGGGGCTGGGCTGCTCATAGGTGCCACTGTCTCTCTGTGGCTGCCGCCGCTGACTGCCCCGCAGATGAGGAGGGTGCCTGGGAGGGGACACTGATGGCGGGCCTTTCATCTCCACGTAGCTGCTTTCTCGAGGATCCCCAGGCAAGCCGGGCAGATCTCTGATGGTAGCATAGGGGTTCTCACTGCTCAGGGACATAACACTTGCCCCCAGCTCCTCTCCAGAAGTGGGACCTAAGGGCCAAGGAAGGAAATCAGGCTCCTGGAGGCACTAGCTCCCTGGCCCAGCTCCCCTTCCCCTCCTGTCTCTCCATCCATACCTTTATGACAGAGTGGTCCTGGGCCGTTCCTGTGGCTATAGCTTCGGTCCAGGTGGCTGGAGCCTGAGGAAAGGCAGAGAGAAGTCAGGCCTCTGGTCCCCATCCCCATCCGGACCCCACGGAGACGACCCAGCAGGTGAGGCTGCACACAGTCACCTCTGCCATGGGGCTCTCGTCGGTGCTTCCAGTCTGCGGGCAGTGTAGCGTGATTATCACGTCCGTGGACTCTGCCTGGCCGCTCAGGTGCCTGGGAGCTGACAAAGAGCTGACTCCCCGGAACCTGACGGGGGACGATGCCTCAGGGGGAGCCCAGGCAGGGCTGGGGCTTTCCTGAGGAGTGGCCCCACCCACACACCGAGCACACCCCCTCAGTGCACTGACCTTGTTAGGGGGGGGCGGGTTAGGAGAGCACTGAGACAGAGTGTGGTAGCTAGGGTTGGAGTAGTAGTGACTGTAGCTCGGAGAGACATCTGCAGGACAAACACAGGTGCGGAGAAGCTCCGAGACAGGCAGAGGCCAGTTTGACCCCCCGGACTCTGGCCATTATTCCCCCCATGCCCCATGGGGGGACAGTCAGCAGCACCCCACTGTCCTTCACTCACTGAAGCCTCACCCCAGCTCACCTGGCATGACATAATCCGAGCCATCCAGTCGCCCAGAGCTGTAAGCCACCGCCAAGTGCTCGTGCTCCTTGCCCTTTTGCCAATGGCGGTAGCCAATGAACAGTGCTACCAGGGCCACCACAAGGGTCCCCAGTACTGCAATGCCAATCACTGCGCCCAGTGAGCTGTGGGTCACAGGAGATGTGGGCATTACGGTGGACGACTCCTGGACTCCTGTGAAATGAAGTGGGCACTGAGACCGGTACCTTGGTTCTGCTAGTGAACAAGGGTGCAATTTAAGGAAGAGCCTGGGTCAGAGAATCTCAGAGGGTCAAAGAATCCAAGAACTCACCCAACTTGCAGGGTGCGCCACTGTGTCCTGGGGGACACACACAAGCCCCGGTCTGTGGGTGGCACCTCTCTCCAGGACCACACTGGCATAGCTGGGAGCAGTTGACACCAAATACTCCTGGTGGGCAGCCTGGATAGAGCCAAGGAAGCAAGTAGCAGTCACAGAGTCAGCAAACTGCAGCCCCCTCTTGGATAAGGGCTACGAGGTATTCAGGGAGTTAGCTCACTGTCGGTACCTTCCAAGCAAAAGGGTCCAGTCCAGCCTGCGGTGCAGGCACAGCTCCCATCCTGGGGGTGGCAGGTTCCCCCATGATGACATTGGCAGGGCTGGGAGCATTTGAGTCCCCAATGACCTGGGGGACATGCTGCAGGAGACAAGGGGATGTCAGGCAGGGCCCCCTCTGCATGGACTCTCAGTATCTCTGAAGTCTTCAGGTTGGCCTTGCTTGGAGATACTAAGGCTCTGAAGGGCATCTACACACTGATGTCACTCAAGTGTTCATCTCCAGTCATCTTGACCCACTACCCACTTAATATCTGCTCTTGAGTCCCTAACGGCCATTTTGAAATAATGGACCCAGAGCTGGGGAACCAGAACCTTCCCAACAGCCCCTGGAGGGCTCAGCACGGGGCTTGTTTTTTCTGATTTCAAACATCTGCCTCCTGCCTGGGATTACAGGTGTGTTACTAATACATCCGGCCTATTACATTAGCTGTGTGTATGATCCTAGTAAATAATCTGATAGCAGACACTAACAACAAAAACAAACAAACAAACACTTCACCAAGAGCACTTCTCTTATGCCCTGACTGCAGAAATGTAGCCAGCCGTCTCTGGGCAGCATCTCCCTTCAAAACATGCTTCTGCTGCCCAGACTAGCCTCTTCTTATCATCACATGGTTGTGTGTGGGATGACACACAACAAAAACAGTGAGAGAGAGATACGGTACAGCCGGGGCTGCTGGGAGAGGGAAACCCAGGCAACAGCCCACACCCACCCAGGCAAACGTGGCCTCCGTGGGTTACAGAAAGGGAGTGGGCACCTGGGTAGTAGAGAGACATCAGGGGCATGAGGTTCCAGGGCCCAACCACCCAAGCGGCAGGCACAGGAGCTCCCGCACAAGCTGCTACGCACATTCAGAGCAGTTGGGGCCTGTCCAGCCTGCCAGACAGTAGCAGGTCCCATCCGAAGGGTGGCAGGAAGAATGGTTGTTGCACTTGCAGGGCACGCAGCGTTTGCCATAGCGACCAGGCTGGCAGGCTAGGGAAAGGTACGCACGGTGACGGGGGCCTGGACCGTGGCCTCCCTTCCCACCTCCCCCTGGATCACTATCAGGAGATGGGAGGCAGAGGCAGAACCCGAGGGTGGAGGGGGCTCCCGGATCTGAGCTGCCAACGGGAGGGGTAGACTACAGGGAGCCTCACGCCTCTGGCAGGAGGGGCCTCGGAACCCCGGTGCACACACGCAGTTGCCATTCTCAGGTACACAGGTACCCCCATTTTTGCAGGTGCAGGTATTGCTGCAGTTGGCTCCCCAAAAGCCCTCTGGGCAAGGCAGGTGGCAGCGTGTGCCTGTAGGAGACAACTAAGGGTCACCTCTCATGGAGTACACTCCCAGGTCCACAACAGACCTAAGACATGGACACCCAGAATGCTTACCCATCCAGCCAGCCTGACACTGGCAGTGTCCATGAACAGGGTCACAGCCATCGGAGTGGTCACAGTCACAGACACTGGCACAACCTTCACCAAACTGCCCCTTCTTGGAGAATAAAAGGAGGGGGAGAGCAGGCTAGTCAGCTGAGGAATGCCGCGCCCTCCCCTCCCTGGGAAGGTGGGCTGTGCTCACTCACCGGACAAGGAAGCTGGCAGTGAGCTCCATGCCACCCAGGGGTGCAAGTACAGGCTCCAGTCTGGGGGCTGCAGACTCCCTCATGGGCACACTGGCAACTGGCATTGCAACTGAAGCCCCAAGTGCCAGGGGGACAGGGCACAGAGCAGTTACCACGCTGCCAACCTAGAAAAGTTAAGCAGGCATGAGAAAAGCCCATGAACAACAAGCAGTTCAAAGACTCCTTGATCAAGTCCATTGCCTGGGCCTCCTACGGCTTCTCCTGCCCCGCCTGGGCCTCCCCAACCTGGGCCTCCTCCTCCTCCTCCTCCTCCTCCTCCTCCTCCTCTGTCTCCCTCACCTGGGCCGCCTCCTCCTCCTCCTCCTCCTCCTCCTCTGGCTCCCTCACCTGGGCCTCCCCAACCTGGGCCTCCTCCTCCTCCTCCTCCTCCTCCTCTGTCTCCCTCCCCTGGGCCTCCTCCTCCTCCTCCTCCTCCTCCTCCTCTGTCTCCCTCACCTGGGCCTCCTCCTCCTCCTCCTCCTCCTCTGTCTCCCTCCCCTGGGCCTCCTCCTCCTCCTCCTCCTCCTCTGTCTCCCTCACCTGGGCCTCCTCCTCCTCCTCCTCCTCCTCCTCTGGCTCCCTCACCTGGGCCGCCTCCTCCTCCTCCTCCTCCTCCTCCTCTGGCTCCCTCACCTGGGCCTCCTCCTCCTCCTCCTCCTCCTCCTCCTCTGGCTCCCTCACCTGGGCCTCCTCCTCCTCCTCCTCCTCCTCCTCTGGCTCCCTCACCTGGGCCTCCTCCTCCTCCTCCTCCTCTGTCTCCCTCACCTGGACCTTCCATTTGTTTCTTCCCCTTCCCTTGGACCTCCAGTCTTTTCTACCCATCCTGAACCTCCACAATCTCTGAGCCTCCAACGGTGCCTTCTAACCCTCCTGGACGCCCGTCTCTGCTCCCCCACCTGGGCCTCATCTGTCTCTCCTACAGAATGGAGGCGGCTGGCAACAAACCCAAGCTCATAGTGGGCTCCGCCAGGCCATCTGTGGGATAACAGGGAGAAACGGGGGCTGCTTAAGTCTTGGTCCTCTGTTAGGTCTAATACCACTGGATCTGAATTCAGCTTAGGGGCTGCCAACATGCCACAGTGACAGCCCTTGGAAGACCTCACTGGCACAGCCATGGAATATTCCTATAGAACTGAGGGTGAGAAATACTCATCATAGAGGTAGCTTTTGGTCTACACCTTCTAAGGACAAATATGAGTATGACACTTGGCTAGAGAAAAGCAAAATGACTAGGACGTTTGGTCTCTGCCTGTGATCCCAGCACTCTAGAGGCTGAGACAGGATGGGTACTTGGACTTTGAGTCTATCCTGGGCTACATAGTGGAACCTTGTCCCCCCCCCAAAAAAAAAGGCGGAGACAGGAGGGCAGGAGAAGGGGAGGATGAGAGGAGACAGAGAGTGTTCTAGCAGAAGCTAGCCTGGCTGGTTCCCACAGGCCCACTTTCAATAAGCTTTGTCCTAGTAGTGATCTCCTCACCCCCACCCCCGGCCCGCCCTCCCAAAGACCCTAGTCCATTACCTTCCTTGCAAACGCATGTGCCGTCGATGGGGGAGCAGGCGATAGCATTTTCGCAGGAACAGCGGGAGGAGCAGTTGATCCCATAAGTGTCCGGTGGACATGGGCTAGCGCAGTGAGGTCCCTGAGAGAGGAGGGCGCAGGAGTGAGGGGCGGTCCGGACCCCACCGCACTCGCCCTTTCCCCATGGTGGGGCACAGCCTCACCGTGTATCCGGGTGCGCACCGGCAGAGGCCGCTGTCTGCAAGGCAGATGCCGCCGTGCAGACAGAGGCAGTGCTCCTGGCAGCCCGGCCCGTGCGTGTCCTGCGGGCAGCTCTCGTTGCAGTGTAGGCCCGCCCAGCCTGGCTGGCAGGCGCACTCACCATGCATAGGGTGGCAGCTGTGGGCGCAGAGGGGACACGAGTGTCTGAATTGTATTACAGAGGCCACTTCCTCCGCAGGGGCTCTGTGAAATTCTCCCGAGAGGCAGGCTGGGCACGGACGGTTGCCTAGGCTGCGCGGGCTCCCCCCCGACCCCTCCCTGATCCTTCCGTGGCATCCGTGCCCTTAGCTACCCCCTGGTCCTCTCCCTTTCTCTGCTGACTCTAAAGCAAGAACTCTAGCTCCCTTGACCGTGTTTCCCGCAGCCCACCTGAGACTGTGATCCGGGTCGCAGGTGCAGGGCTCCTGGCAGCTGAGACCATAGAGGCCATCCGGACAGAGGCGCTCATCGCAGCGGTCGCCTGTGAAGCCGTGCTCACACAGACACGCGCCATTGGCAGGAAAGCAACGGGCACCGGGGGCGCAGTCGCAGGTCTCAGCACAGTCTTGTCCAAAGCGGCCCACAGGGCACTCTTCACGGCACCTGGGTGCCGGGTATACACATCTGTGTAAACGGGGCTCCACCTCCTCCTGGTCCACCCCAGCTCCCCAAAGCCACACACTCACCGATCCCCGATATAGCCAGGAGCACAGTGGCACTGCCCAGTAAACCGATCACAGAGGCCACCGTTGTGGCAGCGACATTCCTGAGTACAGTTGGGTCCATGGAAACCCTCTGGGCAGGGCAGGGAACATATGACACCCTGTGGATGGGTGAAAAGTCACTTAGTCCCCTTCTCATGGCGGCCTGCTGTTAGACACCCTCATAGGCTCACCCCTCCCAGGTTCTGGGGTCCCAACTCATGAAATCACTGGCCCGTAGCCCTGTCAGGTGCCTCCCTCAAACTCTCTTGGGAATCCCAACCCCATGCATGCGGGCTTCACCCTTCATACCATCCAGCCAGGAGGGCAGCTGCAGGAGTCTTGGAGGACCTGGAAAACACCTCCGTTTTGGCAAGGATTGGTTCTGGGGCAGAAGAAGCCAGCAGTGCCCTGTGAACATGGCACATTACAGCTGTGGAACAGGGTGAGTCGGTGTCATAGGAAGAACCTTCAGCTGGCCCCCCTTTCCCCCCAGGCTACACAGGTGGGGAGGGCAGGTGGGTGGAGCAGGTGTGCGCCAGCTGTGCCCCCTTCCCCCCTCCCCCTGCTCCCCTCTCCACACCTGCTCCTACTACAGTTTTTCTACCCTGGGGAATAACAGCACAGCCCTCTCTGCATGTGGCCTTGCAAGCCGTTCACCTCAACCTCCCTTAGCAACTTGTTCTCCCCCCCTTCCCTGTCTGTCCGTCCCTCCCTCCCTCTCTCCCTCCTCTCTCCCTCTCTCTCCCTCCTCTCTCCCTCCTCTCTTCCTCTCTCTCTCTCTCCCTCTCTCTCTCTCCCTCTCTCTCCCTCCTCTCTCCCTCTCTCTCTCCCTCTCTCCTTCTCCCTCCTCTCTCCCTCTCTCCCTCTCCCTCCTCTCTCCCTCCTCTCTCCCTCTCTCCTTCTCCCTCCTCTCTCCCTCCTCTCTCTCTCTCTCCCTCTCTCTCCCTCCTCTCTCCCTCCTCTCTCCCTCTCTCTCACCCTCTCTTCTCTCTCTCCCCTCTTTCCCCCCCTCTCTCTCACACACACACACACACACACACTTTCTCTCTCATGCTGTGATTGTGGTAACCGCTTGACTGGGACCCAGCAGACGCTGGACTAAGATCCTGGTCTCTCAGCTCCATCATTTCCTCATGTAGGGTCCTATGTCTATGGCCTCGTCACACACCTGGGTCCTGTTCTCCCTGGGGGGCAGAAGCAGGCTCCGTTCTTGGGGTCACAGGATGCCCCCTGGCAATGGCAACCAAACCGGCAGTCAGGACCATAGTGGCCAGGAGGGCAAGGCTGGAGGCAGCTGGGGGGCTGCAGGCCAGAGGGGCAAAAACACTCCCCGCTCTTGGGATCGCAGGAACTCCTGTTGCCACAGTGGCAGAGTCTGTCACACCGCAGCCCCCACACTCCTGGGGCACACTCTGTGGAACAGAATGCGAGGGAGTCACCAGACACTTGCCCCCCCCAGCTTCCAGCTAGGGCCAGCCTCATAGCCCACACCCCCATGTCCTCATCTCCAGAAAGGCAGCTAACAGCAATGGACTCCAATTAAAAGTCACTGGCAACTCACCGCTGGAACAGTCGTCACCCCGCCAGCCTGGTGCACACTGGCACCGGTTAGGAGCCGCACATCGACCATGGACACATTCCTGGGCACAGAGTGCTGGACAGAGACGGGTGAGTGAGACCATGCCTCCATCGCACCTTTGGTCTATGAGCCTGAGCCATTTCCTCCCCTGCCAGGGCCTGCAGGTCCCCAAGCACCAGCTGTGGCTGAGATGAGGACTTGGGGGGTTCCCTCAGGGGTCTAGGCTCCCTGACCCCTTTCTGTGACCTTGTCTAAACATCTTGTTGGGAAACGGGGGATTCTCCAGTTGTATTTGGATAGAGATGTGGTCAGAAAGGGGAGGGGCTGAGGGAGGGCTAAGTCAGGCTGGGGACTGGTGACAGTGGTGACAGAGCTGAAGGGTCAGAGGATGGCAGGGGCCCATCTGAAGATAAGCTCCCAAGATGCTAGGAGCGAGAAACTGGACAACAGCAAGTAGGTCCAGCCTCCATCTCCAGCCCCCCTTCGAGCCGTGTTACCCCAGCTACAGCTGCTGGCCAAAGGGGCAGACAGCAGCAACCCACCACCCCATGACAGCAGCAACCCACCACCCCATGACAGCAGCAACCCACCACCCCATGACAGCAGCAACCCACCACCCCATGACAGCAGCAACCCACCACCCCACGCCCTCACTGGGGCAGACAGCAGCAACCCACCACCCCATGACAGCAGCAACCCACCACCCCACGCCCTCACTGGGGCAGGGAACCCACCACCCCCGTGCCCCTCACTGGGGCAGAGAACCCACCACCTCCGTGCCCCTCACTGGGGCAGGGAACCCACCACCTCCGTGCCCCTCACTGGGGCAGGGAACCCACCACCTCCATGCCCCTCACTGGGGCAGGGAACCCACCACCTCCATGCCCTCACTGGGGCAGGGAACCCACCACCCCCATGCCCTCACTGGGGCAGGGAACCCACCACCCCCATGCCCTCACTGGGGCAGGGAACCCACCACCCCCACGTCCCTCACTGGGGCAGGGAACCCACCACCCCCGCGCCCCTCACTGGGGCAGGGAACCTACCACCTCCACACCCCTCACTGGGGCAGGGAACCCACCACCCCCATGCCCTCACTGGGGCAGGGAACCCACCACCCCCGCGCCCCTCACTGGGGCAGGGAACCTACCACCTCCACACCCCTCACTGGACAGGGAACCCACCACCCTATACCCCTCACTGGGTCAGGGAAAATTCCTGACACATGGGTCCCCCTTGGTCCATTCCTACCCTGACCCCACTCAAGACTCACGGACACAGGCTCCACTGCTCTCATAGTAACCCCCACAGCATCGCAGGCGTGGGCGGGAGTCAGTCTTCACCACCTGACGGTACACAGTGCGGTAGACAACCCTGCGGTGGCCCAGGAGATGGCCATCAGTGCTCTTAGCTGAGGCCCTGGCTGCCCCCACCCCGTCATACCTCAGTGAGGCACTAGAGGGCGTCAGAGGGTGAGTGCTCCCTCTCTGGCCCACATCAGCCACAAACATGTACAATGAAGCAGATGCACTTTCACTGGGCACATGGGTGCCACCATGGGCAGGAGAGTGCCTTGAGGTCAGAGTGTCAAAGGTTCTGAGAGGGGCCAGGGCTCAACCAGCTACTGACTCACAGAAGGATAAAGCACTCACGTGGGCTGGGAGCAGGTGCGGGGGTCCTCCCAGGGCCTGTCACAGGACTCGGCCGGCAGCAAGCTGAAGGGGCGGAGGTGGGACTCCTTAGTGGTGGTGGTGAAGCTGTGGAACGAGAATGGTTAGGCCCAAGACAGCCTGGCCTGAGTTGGCAGGGTGCAGCAGGGAGCCAAGGCCAGGCTCTACCAGGTGAAAACCAGTAACCCCAGTATTTGGGCTTCCTCCCCATACTCCCCATGTGTCTTACCTAGAGGCTCCTCCTAGAACTGAAATGTTCTAGGACTCCTCCCTTCATAACTATTTTTCATCCTAAGGGCTAAAGCCATCTACGCGCACATGCGCACGCACGCACGCACGCACACACACACCCGCCTTCTGATGGGGGACGATTGAATTTGACTGCTCAATCTGGACCCAGCAGACAGCAGGGCTGAAGCATTTTTGGCTAACTTCTGCCCTGAGCCCTGTTTTCCAGTCCTGTCTCTGCCTTCTCCCCACCCCCACCCCAGGCAGCCCCTCTGCTTGGTCTGCTGTATATGGGTCCCCCCCACGGGGATCCAGGGTCAGAGTCAGGACAGAGACTGAGACAAGAGCAGAGGTGGGGAAGGCCAAAGGCCATGGAAGGGCACAGAGAGACCGGAAACAGATTCCTAGGAGGAGCCACCCCCTAGGACAAGCAGCAAGCGTGGGCCCGTCTCACCTTTCCCAGAAGGTGCAGACATTGGGGTCATTGGAGTTGAGTGTTCTGGCCAGAGGCAGGCCTAGGGCCAGGAGGAGCAGCCGCAGAAGCATTGCCGAGGCCTGCAACAGGGTACAGCAACTGAAGACGGCAGAAAGGATGCATCTGCAGAGTCAGGCAGCAGGCATGTGGGGACCGGCCTGCCACCTCCTCGGTCCTCTGGTCCCCGCAGCAGGGCTCCAGCTCCCCCAGACCCCAGCAGTGCTCCTGCGGCCCCAGGTCTCAGATCAGTTTGCTAACACACTGACTCCAGCCCTCATCTTCCTGGAATTCTGTGCCTCAGGCCTAGCTTGCGGGCCACCTTGCTTTTCTGTCTGCTCCCTGACAACTCCGCCCACCACCCCAACACACACACACACACACACACACACACACACACACACACACACGCACGCACGCACGCACGCACGCACGCACGCACGCGGGATGGCACCATGCTCATGTCTTTTAGAGCCTCCTAGCACCATTTACCACACACAAACTTCTAGCCACTTGACCACCCCCTAACCTAGCAGATAAATGCTAAGGACACAGTACGAAACTGGGGCCGACGAAGGCGGTTCTAAGGGAAGCCAAGAGAACTGTCAAACGGTCAGCCAGGACAGCTCAACATCAGATGTCACCGACAGCAAGCTTCCATCGCCGTGCGTGGGCCGACGGTAGCCCAAGCTGCTCTAATGAAGTCTGGTCAGGAGGTCCTAGCCACGGGCGATGGCAGTGGGACTGCACTGGTGGCCACACAGTCACTGCTGTGCTCCCAGGGACAATTTCCATCTTTCTCTGACAGCCCTAAGAGCCTGGCCTCCTCATCTCCACTTCTAGGCCTCTCTCCGGGGTGGGAAGAGTCAGGACCCCAGATGGGAGGAGTTCTTCTCTGACCACCTAGGCTCAGGAAAAGCTGATGGCTACAGCTTCTCTAAAACTTGCCCAAGCTCCCTTCTCTACTCCCCAGAGATATATCCACATCTGCTTGTAATTTTTTCCCTGAGAAGAGAGGTCGCAGTTGCTGGCCCCTTACACCCCTGAGTATCCCTGGAATGCTAGTTGCAGCCCCACCCCTGGCCCCCCACCCACATATTCCGGCAGATCCTGATTCTCTCAGCTCAGTCAGGGCGCCTCCTCAAATTATCACAGGCTCCCTAAGTGAACCCCAACTCCCTGCTGTGCCCCGTCCCCAGCTCGCTTTAACTCTCTAACAGCTGAATTTCCCCTTCATCTTCTTTACTCCATGTCACTGCTGCCCAGAGTGAACTCCCAGCCCCCCCATGACCTAGAGACACTCCCTCCACACCGCCTGGGGGCCCAGGTGTACCTCCAGTCTCCTCAGCCATTCCTACTCACCAGTAACTCACCCCTGATGCCAGCAGGGAAGCCAAATGATTTCCGGGGATCCCAGTGCACAGGTTTAGATCCTTAAAAGAGGAAACTCGGCTGCCTGGCTGGGAGTGTGGAGCTCCACCCTCCCCTACTTCCCCTCAGGTGTGAAGGGGTCCACTGGCTGACTTGGCTACCCGGCTGACATTGTGGCCTTGGGAGATGGCGGTCAAGGGAGCCCCACCATAGTGGAGGTACCCAGTGCTACTCGAACCTGATCCAGTGGGTGTTACCATCAAACATGTCCCCACCCCAAAGTCAGTTCCTTCTCTCAAGGGTCCCAAACTGTCCCCTCCAACCTTGCCCTGCTCACTGCCACCAACAGGGTTGGCTCCAACTGATCCACAGCACTCTTCCCGACTCCCCCAAGGGTGTTCTACAGCCAGGGCCGTGGACAGAACCCAGAACTCTCCACATCTCTCCCCTACTCTTATTCTTTCCCATACTCCATGCTTCCAGAACCTTGGGCTCTAGTCAGGATGCAGCGTCACCTAGGAAGATAGTCATGGGGCCCAGTGAGCGGCCCTGTCCTGTCTGTCCCTAGAGTCCACAGCAGGGTTTGGTGGGCAGAGCCTACAGGAAGATGAGTTAAGGTGAAGTCGTTTGAGCTGGGGCTGCATAAAGTCCTCCCCAGCGTCACCTGCCCTTACTCCCAGGCCAGAAGTGCAATCAAGTGTTGCCCCATCTCCCCATTCGGTTCAGCTGGGGGCTCAGGAGGGCCCCGCACAGAATGGGGTGTAGCTAGCTCAGCAGCTAACTGACTGGAGGCCTCCCTTCCCTTCTCCAAAGGCCTTCAGGGTGGGGCTGCATTGCGGAGGAGGCTCCAGCAGCTCTGTCCAGGGCTAGAAGCCAACGTGGGGTCAGCAGAGACCAGCGGGTGGGCAACAGGGAGGGGAGGTGGGGGAGGTCCTAGCAGAAAGCAGGATTTCACCTGACCATTCCCAGCCTGGGAGATAAACACAGGTCTGATGAGGACCCCAAAGCCTCCAAAAGCTGGTTTCTCTGGGGTGGGGGGTGGGGTGGGTACACCTGACGCCTATCCCATGGGCCTCCAGCTCCTCTCTGGTCCCAGAAGCACCAAGCCTCTAACTACGCACCCGGATCCCTGCCCTAGGAGACCACCAAGCTTCTGCTTTGACAAAGGCCTGCCCTCATACCGTCAAAATGTGACCCTGAGCTGTTGTGAGATAGGTCAGGCAGGGAGTGAGCGACTCCCATAGGGTACTTCATTGAAAGCTTCTGTCCGTCCGTCCTCGCAGAGAGTGCTACTATACAGTCCACAGTCCACAGCCGAGGAAGCAGACTCAGTAAACACGGGAGCCTGCCCAAGCCCCACCGCCAATGGTGTCTGTCAGAAGAGGGATCCAAACTCGGGCAGCAGCAGAGGCCTCCCAATAGTTCTATTTCTGGACAGGGAATAGGAAACCCAGGGACTTGATATCTTTATAGCATTAGTTGTAGGAGTGAGGAGCTGGCCAGGGCCGGGACCAGAGAAGGGGAGGGGACGCGGCCACTAGAACATGATCAGAGGCGTGGGAACCGCGCTGAAGGCAGTCAAAATGAACAAGTTTTCTCTCCCACCTCCTCATGCAAATTGCTGGGCTCTGGGCCAGGCTCAGCTCCATTTCCTGCCTGCAAGGCTGCAAGCTACATTCCTGCCTCTCAGCCTCCAAGTCCCACAGGGCCCTGGCCTGTTCCCGCTCCAAGAGCCCCCTACCCTCACTACACCCCAGCGTCTGGGAGGAGGAAGTGAGTCTCGGGCCTCTGGGACCTGGTAGATGGTTGAGGGTTCTTAGCCAGAAAGCAGCAAATGGGAGTGATGGAAGGGAGCTCCTGCAGGCCGGTTTCCAGCAGCGGTGTAGCATGGGGTAACCCTGCACTCTGGCCCTTCTACTCCAGGTAACCCCGGCACAAGGCTACCGTAAAGATTGAACGTGGTGACACACTCGGGGCCAGCCTGTAACACGCGCCACTCCGTTCGCATTAGTCGTACCCAGCATCCTCAGGGCCTCCTGCATTCGTTCCAGGAAAAACTGGGTGTTTTTTTAAGAACCCCCACGATGATCCGGGAATAAACAGGGTTGAAAATGCTGACAGGGAGAAAGGAAGTGGGGGGAGGGAGGAGGCCAGAACCTGATCCCCAGAATGGTGGGCTGCCTGCCAGGTGCATCTTCAAGCTAGAGCCAGTAGCAGGGCAGGACCCCTGAATTTTCTGCCCTCCCGCACCTGCAGTACCAACCCCAACTCCCTGATGCTCCCCCATCGTGCGGTCCAGAGAGTCCAGTCCTGCCCTGTCACAAGCTGTGTGACTGGTTCTGAGCCTCCGTCCACATTATCAGCCTCCCTAGTAACCGGGCATGGTTTTCACACACCGTTTCTGTTTTTCACCAACACCCTTTTCCTTTATCGCTTTCCTGGTCGGGGGTCTTCCATCCTCCTTCCTGTCAAGGCTGTCACGAACAGTCAAGCAGTGTCCCCCCCTCACACACACAATGCAGCTTAGCGTGGTGCTGAGGCGGGCATTTGTGGTCCCCGTGTCCCTTTCCTGAGCTGTCTGTGCCCCTGAGATGCTGCAGAAGTCCTCCACAAACAGGAGTGAGACCCCAGCCCAGGTCCACGTTCTCCCCAGAAAGAGCTGGCTCTGCCAGCACGGAGCGCCCAGTGGCACCTCACACCCGTCTCCACAAGCGCACTCAAACACAGGGCCCCTCCTACACCCAGCCAAACCAGGCTCCGGCATGCCAGGCATGTGTGCCGGATGGAGGAACAGGAAGCCTGAGAGAGGCAGACTGGAGGCTGGGGCAGCAGGAGAGGAGCAGGGTGACAGGCTGGCCTGCTGTCGGCTCAGGAAACGGAGGCTAGAGGGTCGACCGTAGGCCTTGTTTACTCATCAGGAAACAGAGAACCAGCAGGGATTCTGACTCACAGTCTAAGCCAGTTGGCCCCAGCCATGGCTACCACCTGGGGAGAGGCGGCCCTTTTCACTGGAGGGTCTTAGAAAATGAGTTGCCCAAGGGCTGTCTGTCTGGTCACCACAGCCTGGAGAATGCCTTCCCTGCCACCACCCAGAGATACCTCGGGCAGGACAAGGTGGCTTTTACCTATGATCCCAACACTCAGGGCTGTGAGGTTAGAGTATAATTCATTCCAGGTTAGCCTGGGCTACAGAGGGAGCTGGTGTCAAAAATAAAAACCAAAGCAGTTCTGCTCTGGACACTGCTGGCTTCTACTGCCTTCTCCATCACAGGGAAGGCCGGCTGTACCAGGCACTGAAGCCTACAGCCCCACATGTCTCTCAGGAGCAGCCGCCTCTCCCCAGAATGTCCGCTTCAAGAGCTGCCTCCACCAGGAAGCTGCCCAGCGCTCATGCTTCACCTTCCCTCCCTGTCCTGTAGACCTAACAGGCATGGCTCCCATGGCCCAGGGGAGTCCTGGCTATTTTCCCCGAGTCTGCTTAGAAGCTGGCTCCAAGTGGGACGCTCCTCGGACACTGGGGGGGGGGGGGTTGACCCAGCCAAAGTCAGTCCCTCCTCTGGGAAAAGCAGAGCTAACCCAGCCCACGCTAGGCGCTGACAGTAGAGTGTGCAGTCTAGGGAGGGCTGGAGGACAGGCCTGTGGCGGTTACATCCACCAGCCTGCTCCCTCAGTCCCCTCCTCCCGTGCAGCATGCTCCAACACTGACAGAGTCCATGTTTCCTCCCAGCTCAACCCAGGGCCATAGTGGTCTCTTTAACTGGTCTGGGCTTGCTCAGTAGTGCTGGAAATGGAACTCTGGTCCTTGAAGATGCCAGCCAGGCGAGTGTTGCACCACTAAGCTGTACGCTATCTGCCCGTAATGCTTAGCTATGCTGTCTGCCACTGAGTCAGAGTTGGCTTGGGCAGGGCCCTTCCCCCATACACCTGGGTGCCTAGGACCAGCCAGCACCCACAGCACATGGACACGCCCCCAACACTGAGTACAGAGCACTGCAGCTTTCCTTCTGAGGCACAGCAGAGAGGCTGCGGCCTCCCCTCAGTCCCGCTCAGGCCTCCCAGAGCCCCACAGAGCGTGTGGCTGGTAGGGAAAGTGGAATGAAGAGAGAGAACTCACAGTGGAAGAAAGATGGCCCCACATCTGCCCTACCAGCCTGGGCCAGGGACTCCTCAGCCCTACCAGCCTGGGCCAGGGACTCCTCAGCCCTACCAGCCTGGGCCAGGGACTCCTCAGCCCTACCAGCCTGGGCCAGGGACTCCTCGGTGTTGGCATCCGACTCCCCAGGTATGTAAAGGACTAGATGGGAGCCTTGTCCTGATCTGGGGACCACAGATCCTTCCAGACACAGGGACTGAGTCCCAGACGCCCCCTCTGTCCGTGGGGACAGCCAGGAAGATGCCCACACTCAGGAGCCTGGCTTCAGGCTGCTTCTGAGGCTGTATGCAGGTTTGCAGCACTAGTTATCACCCTTAGGAAACAGAGAGGACTGACCTCGTCCTCCTCCAAGCTACGCCTCCTAGGAAGAAATGTCCTAGGATGGCAGGGGGGCAACATGCCTTTCATGACACAAGCCACCAGAGCACAGCAGGGGTCTGGGCCAGGCCTGCACACCCTGTGTGTCCTTCCTTTCATCACCCTGGCTCCTCCTCAACCTGCGACCCTTGTTCTCAGTCTCTCCTACATCCACAGTTCTCTCCCTGCGTCTTGTCTCCAGTCTGAGTGTCTGTGTTCATGTCTGTCTACCCCTCCTGCCTCTCTGCTGGCTTTCCCCCCACCGAGCAGGCACCAGGCCGGGATGAGGCCACGTGGAGGGGCCTCAGGGAAGCCAGGAGGCCGTGGAGCCCCTTCCTGTGGCTGTGGCAGCTATCTCGGTCTAGGTTTCCCGCTGGTGGAGCAGGGTGCCAGGGGACGGTTTCCTCTTCTTCCTTCTTCTGGTAAAGTCTGATAGGGCACGGTGGAGTGGAGTGGAGAAGCAGAAGCCAAGCCCCCACCTCACCCCCTCTAAGAAGAGAAGGACATGCGGAGAGGTGGCAGGGGGAAAGTGGTAAGCTTTGGAGGATGTCATCTGCCGGAGAGCATCAGCAGGCAGATTGGGAGGGTGGACAGGACACCTATCCTGCCCGTGCACGCACACACACACACACACACACACACACACACACACACACACACACACACGCTCACACACAGAGACTGGGGTGAGAGGTCCGTCCACACCTGTCCCGCCCCATGCACACCTATCCCGCCCATGCACACACACACACACACACACACACACAGACTGGGGTGAGAGGTCCGTCCACACCTGTCCCGCCCATGCACACACACACGCGCACACACACACACACACGCACACACACACACACGCACACACACACACACACACACACGCTCACACACAGAGACTGGGGTGAGAGGTCCGTCCACACCCATCTGGCCTGTACACACACAGACACTGTTACACTTCGGGGTGGAGTTGGGTTTGGAGACTAGCCCCCATCCCTCTAGGCCTAGCATAGGCAGGGGTTGAGAACTGACCCCTTATCCGGCCCTGCCTGGAGCTGAGGCCGGCTGAGCCTGGGAACCTCAGCCAGCACATGCTGTTCCCATCTCCTGGGACCAGGGTCACAGTCCCCAGCTGGGGCAGCAAGCACAACTGAAAAACCAAAACAGGAGTCACAACCCCATGGCTGGAAGCTGGGAAGAGGGATGGGAGGTGAGGGAACTTGCTGGGGCGCCTAGGTTCCAGGGCCCAGGTCACACTATCTGCCCACATCATGCAGGCAAAGGCTGGGTGCCTATGGCTGACCTCTCTCCCACAAGGCGGAAAAGGACTTGCAAATCTACAAACAGCGAACGCGGTCTTTATCCAGGAGACATGCTTTCCCCCAGCCACCGCAGGAAACAAGCACTATGTTTTGTTAGTCCCTCCAGAAGGAAGAAATTGAAGGATGGAGGGGAAGACATGGTCTAGGATTACTTCTCAGGGCTTCGGTACCACCAAGGTTCTAGCAAACTGGGCAGTGGAATCCAGGAGGCGAAACTTCCCTGGGAGAAGAGAACACTCTCCCAGGCTGGTCGGGACTCCCAATCCCCACGGCCACTCTAGCTGTTCTTTCCACTTCGGTGGGCGCTCTCTCCCCGTCTGCCGGCTCTCTCCTTTCTCTCCTCTCTTTTCACTTAGATGGCTCTCTCTACACAGATCCTTCTCGCCCCTCTCACCTCCGCTCCCCTTCCTCTTCTCTTTCCACTTAGACGGTTGGCGCTCCCTCCACCCCAACTCTTTGTGCTCTGCGCTAGCGGTCTGGGGGCGGGGACGGGGACGGGGATGGTCACTCACCTGCCTCGGAGCTCAGAGCTCGGCGCTGCGTGTACACCGACGGTCCGCTAGCCGGAGCTGCCCGCTGCACGGGCAGGAAGGGGGTGGGCCTCCGCCCGCGCCCAGGCAGGAAGTCCGCGCCGGGAGGCTGGAGCCCGGCCGGGTGGGGTCAGGCCTCCTCACTCCGGTCTGCGAAGTGGACGAGGAGAGCCGCCCAACCTGACAAGTTTGAGATCAGCTCCGGCTGCGGCGTCGCTGTCCCCTCCGACGCCCCCTTTTCCTGCCCGCCGGCGCCCTCTGGCGGCGCTCACGGGAGGGGCGCCCCCCCACACCTGCACGGTCAGATCTTTGTGACCTTTGCATGGGTTGAAGCAGGGTGCTAGGCTGCTATATCAAGAGGCCAAGGCAAGATCTGAGCCGCTCGCTGTCCCCAAGATTTGCTCCGAAAACACCCGGCGACCTACAACAGTCAGGGTTCAGAGCAAAGGCAACTAACTTGGGCCTGTGGGTGTGGCTCATGCTGCAAGTCCTGGGTTGAATTCTCAGCAGCAGGGACACTTTGTTTTGTTTTTTGTTTTTCGAGACAGGGTTTCTCTGTGTCGCTTTGGAGCCTATCCTATCACTCACTGTAAACCAGGCTGGCCTCGAACTCTCAGAGATCCACCTGCCTCTGCTTTCCCTGTGCTGGGATTGAAGTCGTGCGCCACCAATGCCCGGCAGCAGGGACACTTTTATTTAGACGTGATTGATAAACAATAAAAATCAGAACACTTGGTTTGATAAATACTGTTCTAACATTTTATCGTGGCAAAATATGCATAAAATGTATCCTCTCGACAAACATTAAGCGTGTAGTTTGGTGGCATTAAGTGCTTCACATGTGTGCAACCTTTGGTACTATCAATTTCCAGAGCTTTCCCCTCATCCAAACTGAAACTCAGTCCACATGCCCTGGCCTGCTAACCACCGCGAGGTCAGACCATGATCCTTTAGCTCAGTCTTTGTCCCTCCCCGTCTAGTGTACGCTACGTAACGGTGTTTCCATTGGTTTAGGCAAATGTGCTCATCAGTGAAACTACCGTCCCAATAAAGCATGCTTTAAAATGTACGTCTCTGGCTGGGCGGTGGTGGCGCACGCCTTTAATCCCAGCACTCAGGAGGCAGAGGCAGGCGGATCTCTGTGCGTTTGAGGCCGGCCTGGTCTACAGAACGAGTTCCAGGACAGCTATGGATTCCAGGACGGGATGTTACACAGAGAAAACCCACTTTAAAAAAAAAAAAAAGTCCATATCTGGGGAGAGTGAGACAGCTCAGGTGGTAAAGGCATTTGCCACCAAGCCTGATGACCCGAGTCTGACCTCACCGGGTGGAAGGTGAGAATCTGAGCTCACAGAAATACCATGGCAGCATCCCCACCCCTTACAACATAAATAAATATGTTTAAATGACCATCTCCCCCAGCTCTGCCGTGCAATAATGCCCATTCTCACCCCAACCCAAGATCGTGGAAATTTTTATTTGTTTTCTGTCACTGCGATTTTTTTTTCTAGAATTTCTGTGTAAGTGCGATCCTACAGTATGTACTTACACCTGTAGCAGGATTTTTCTTTGGGGCTACCACTCAGCTCCCAAATCATTACACAAGACTATTCTTAGTTTTGACCGCTTGACCTGAGCTTAGCTCTTTACTTGCTCTTTTAGCTTAACCTGTTTCTCTTCATCTACATTTGGCCTCGGGATTTTTTACCTTTTCTTACTTTCTTGCTGTCTCTGTGTCTGGCTGACTGACGGCTTCGGTTTCTGGTCCCGGGCCTGTTCCTTGTCCTCTCCTCCTCTCGTTCTTCCATCTTCCCTCTCGAGCCTAGGTTTCTCCTCCTACTTTTTCTCTCTGCCGCCAGCCCCACCTATCCTTTCTCCTGCCTAGCTATTGGCTGTTTAGCTTTTTATTAGATCAGTCAGGTGCCTTAGGCAGGCAGGGTGAAACAGATGCAACACATCTTTTCAGAATTAAACACGCATCTTTATATCATTAAACATATGCAGCATAAGCAAACGTAACACACCTCTGTTGGTGTCTTTTTTAACTCTTTGCTTGTTGACAGGTCCTGCCACCCAGCTCCCAAATAAATCACACACACACACACACAAAAGTCTTTTTTTTTTTTGGCTTGTTTTTGTTGCCTGTTTTTTCAAAACAGGGGTTCTCTGTGTGTAGCTCTGGCTGTTCTGGAACTCACTCTGTAGATCAGGCTGGCCTTGAACTCACAGAGATCCGCCTGCTTTTGCCTCCTGAGTGCTGGGATTAAAGGCATGTGCCATCAATGACTGGCTTAATAGTTGTTTTTGTTTTTGTTTTCTTCTTGCTGGTATTTTGTGGTAGTTTTTGCTCTTTGTGGGGGAGTTGTTTGTTTATTTGGGGTTGTTTTGTTTTGTTTTGTTTTGTTTGTTTTGGTTTTTCAAGACAGGGTCTCTTTTTGTAGCCCTGGCTGTCCTGGAACTTGCTCTGTAGGCTGGCCGAAAACTCAGAGATCTGTCTGCCTCCGCCTGCCTGGTGCTAGGGTTAAATGCCTGCACCACCACCACCCTACATAGTTGTTATTTTGATGGTAAACCGTGCTGAGCTCAGGTGCTTCAGGAAGGAAACAGAGTTGGACGTTGATGTCACTAAATGTCCAGCAGGGGGCAATAGAAACCAACGCATGGCTCAAGGTCAGGCAGCAGAAAACCTGTGTTCTGGTGGCCTTGGAAGTTAATGATGGATCCTTCTCTATAAGTGACCAATGGGGGGAGACTGCAGTGCGGTGGCTCACCTTTCACTCAGACATCGCTCCACGCTCTGTCTCTGGGAGCCACACTCTGCCCTGCGTCCCAGTCCTGCTAAGAAAGTTTACCAGCCAGGCGGTGGTGGCGCACGCCTTTAATCCCAGCACTCGGGAGGCAGAGGCAGGCGGATCTCTGTGAGTTCGAGACCAGCCAGGTCTACAGAGCGAGTTCCAGGACAGCCTCCAAAGCCACAGAGAAACCCTGTCTCGAAAAACCAAAAAAAAAAAAAAAAAAGAAAGTTTACCACTTGGGCCCCAGAGATGAAGCTTCTTCTACTGTTTTACTAAATAGGCGCGCCACACGGCCTTCTAAATATCCACATTCACACTGATAGTGCTCCGGTCAGCCTTCATTGGAAATGCTTAATACAGCAGCAGGCGGTGGTGAGTGCAGTGCTGGCCCCAACCGGGACAGCTCGAACATCCCCTCCAAGGCTCATTGTAGAAGGAGGGCCCAAAGAATCCACAGCCAAAAGATGTCTTCTGGACATGACATGATTATCGATCGCACACATGAGCTCACGTAAAAGTGTATGACACGGACACGATGAGGGGGGCTGAAGACATGCGCCTCCCCACCCCCACTTTTACTGCAGGGTGGAAGATGAGGGTGTTCTCTGACCCCTGCACGCACACCACACCGACACATGCATGCACTCACGCACACAGGACAATGATAACCTCTGCACAGAGTGCCTTGCTGTATGTCACGAGGGAGGTGATGGTGGGGACTAAAGATGGGTGTGTCACAGCCAAACTTGCAGGAACCTCTTGGGTCGCAGTAGAGCCACTGGATTTTGCTCTGTGTGGGATGAGAATAGCTTGACCGTAGGCAGGCATGATGCTCACAAGGAATATTGCTGTGTTAGGAACAGGCTGCAGGGAGAGGTGGAACTGGGGGGGGGGGGGCGGGAGGCTGGTGAAGTGTTGCTGTCCACATAAGCTCAGGGATGGATAGACCAGAAAAGCTGCCGAGGAGCT